AGTAGTGAATCATAAATCAGAAAAAGCACCTATCACATCTTAATATAAAATGCTATGCTTATTTTCCTATTTTTTTCTGACCCCATTTCAAAGTCTTAAAAAAGGACACTTGCTTGTCAGCCCCTTACAAAAATCTAAGATATGGCTTGCTTAACCAAGATTTATTGAATAAACAATGTGTTGCTGAGTTCACATGACCAGCCAATCATAAACCATCCAGAACGGCTGGATTCATGTAACAGCCTAAATCAAAGATAAGCCACATTATTTTAAATATTTTTAGTTTTATATTCCACCTATCATTTGGCTTGTGTCGTATGATGTCAGGTTTAGCAGTTTTTTAAAAAATAAATATTCTCCAACCTATGTTAACAAAGAGAGGACTGTATAGCATTGGGTTTGTATTTATATTTTATTTCCTTTATTTCCATAATAATGTGTTACTGTATACGGTCACCACAAAGTGTTTGATTTGTATGTTCCCAGCTAACCTGCTCCACACTTCTGGGAGCTTCAAATGCAGTAGGGATTTAAAAATACCCTCAAAAAGCATAAAATAATGAAACGCAATCCCCAGGTACTTACCACAATGGTGCCTTCTTTTCCATGATGCCTGTGAAAGTGTACCATGTCTCTGAAGGGAAAATCACAGATCACATCGCTATTGAGTACAAAAAAAGGTTCTGAATTTTCAGCCAAAAGCTCCTGTGCTAGTGCCAGTGGGCCAGCTGTGGAGGAAATGGGAGTTATCAGTGTCCATCTGATCATCAACCCTTTAGCATCCATAACCAACAAACACAGCTAAGTTCACAGTTACCTGTGCCCAGTGGTTCCTTCTCATGTGACAGAGAAATCTGAATGCCCAACTGAGAACAAAGAAGAATTTGGAAATGCAGTTAGAAGAAAAGTAGAAGCAAGCATCTGTGAGTACATGGCAGAGACTCTATCCATACCTGCCTTTAGAAAATTTCTCAAATAGGACAAGTTAATTATATCACCCAGTTGGTTTATGCAACCTGCAAATTGTTGACTCATTGCTCTTTATTTAAGTTTATAAGTACACCAAATAACGCTGCTAATAAGGTAATTTAGACAAGGGAACAGAATTCTACCTAGCCGCCTTGGAAAGCTCTTAGGTTATTTATTTCTTAAACCATATTCAAACACCCTAATGCTAAGCACTCGTACTTGGAAAGAAGTCTGTTGAAGGTAACAGAGTCTATTTAAAATTAGGTACATATAGCACTTCTGCAGGCATGGCATTCCATAATCGTCAAGAAGTCGTAATATGGGGTTCAGGGCACTCCTTGGAGAAAAAAAGAAAAGGAAACTTTTCTTTCAAGAACTTTTGTAAGTTAACTTATCTTGGGATCCAGGCCAAAAGGTGCAAGGTAAACTAGGGAGCCAAAGGAAAAAAATTGTCCAGTCAGTACAGTGGAGAAAGTACTTCTAATATAAGCATTTTATGTGTGATTTTGTGAAATAACAAAGACACACACAAATACTGAAAAAAAAAGGCCAAATTTGTGCTCAAAGTACTTTGCTTAAAACATTATACAAGAAAGGGGTGAGATAAAAAAAACTTATTAAAATTGAATCCTTTACTGCAGAGGTACCGGAAATTCTGATATTTTTTAGATGTTGAATCCATCAACTTAAGTGAACATAGCTAATAGTAAGCAATCAAGGGAGCATTGCAGCATCTTCAAGATCACTCTTTTTACATTATCTGTGAGAATAATCCTGCACTTTATTAACACTTCTAGAAGATAAATCAAGTACTGAATGTACAAAACAAACAATTATGGAAAGTTACTGAAAAGCAGTATCATGATACCCAGAGATGCATATCCTATTTTAACACTGTACAGCATGGATCTTATATAAGGAATTATGAAAAGAGTTGTGCTTATTTCCCTTTTCTTCAACATATTACTCTATATGTTAGTTAAATCTCACATATCGCATCCTTATTTTAAGAAGATTCTAGCACAGAGAAGTAATTTAGTTAAACTCAATACCAGCCACTTTCCTTGCACAAGCCAAGACAAAACATTAAACTGTAGAATCCTTAGTTCATTTTTATTGAAAAAATATTAAAGCTGAAACATCAGTTCCCTAATTCAAAAGCATTAAAATTATTAATCACCCAACAGTATGCACATGCATATCTGTTAATTGCCCTGTGGAAACTGCTGTTGAGTAGACTAGAGCATAGAACAGGGGTGTCAAACTGCGCGCCGGATGCATCATGCCAAAACCACGCCCACCCCATTGCCAACAATGGAAAAAAAGTTGCGATACGTCGTGACACGTCACGTGACATTGCAAGTTTGACACCCCTGGCGTAGAATAACTAGGAATGATCAATCACTGCAGTGCAAAATAATAATACCCCAGCAAATGCAGATAAGAGCTGATTTATTCTACCCAATAAGTCCATGTAAACAAAAAAGCTCACCTCAAGTCACTTACCCTTTGCTCTTGTTCTTTCATTTCCTTCTCCAGTAGTTCTGACATATAGCTCACAGCAAGGATCACATGATTAACACCTGCCTGCCAGGAAAAGGTTAGCATTCAGCACAATTTGAAGGCATGGCCTTGATTCAAGGGATTGTTTAAGATGATTGTCAGAATTATAATATCCCCAAATAATTACTCCTTATTAGTGACTAGAAATGCCAAACTTGGCTCATGATACAGAAATCTGAAACTGTTGAATCCTCATTGGAAAGTTATTCTAACGTTCTGGAAGTCACTTTGATCAGAGTCAAAGTTTCTTGTCCTAAGAAAACTGACTTAACTAAAATGCCACATGTTTAGACAACACCTAACAAGTTAGATTATTGCTTATTGTCATGTTGTGTGTGCAGATACCCTTGCTTTCAAAAGTTATTGGTGCAGAAAGCCACAACTAAAACTCTTGTGGAAGCTAGACGCTTTAGATACTAACATTCTGCATCAATTACATTAGCCACAGTATAACTGGGCCCAATATAACAATATTTCTGCAATCAAGTCAGAGTGCTTCTTTAGCTTCTAAAAGATAAATTATTTAAGACCATGCTATCTACCTATATCCATATGATTCTATTGCATCATTACCATCAATATTGGGTTTTACTGCCTGGCCTTAAAATAACGATGATCAGATTGATGTGAATTAAGACACCGCTTTTTAAATATTGGTACTACATTTCAAGAATATATTTTTCAGGAAGAATAATTGGGCATAAGAAAAAAAAAATCAAAAATTCGAAAAGCACACTTATTCCAACCAGCATTTAATAAATAAATGTACTGCAAGATGTGAGATGGATTTAAAAGTACTGTATAAACAAATATTAAATGCCATCTAAGAAAAAAACCAGTTTTGGTTAATGATTAAGGAATCAGGATAGAAACCAGGGGACCGCGAGTTCTAATCCCAGCTTGGGCTAGGACGGTGATCTTGGGCCAGTCTCTCAGCCTCGGGAAGGAGGCAGTGGCACAGCGCTTCTGGAAAACCTTTGCCAAGAAAGCTGCAGGGGCTTTTCTAGGCAAATGGACACGGTTGAACAGGAGGAAAACAAATCATCTATTCTAGGTGGTCATAAAAGGCCATGGCTATGAAAATAATCTTACCATGAATGCCTTTCCTAAGCAACAGGCAGAAACAAATAGTGTGATAGTTGGAAATTCAACTTTGCTTTCTGAAGCAGACAAAATCTAATACTTCAAGTCCAGATTTAGTCTGATTTTCACATTCATCCCTTTTCTGTCAGACATCTTGATTTCTCTCTATGTCAAGACAGATCAATTTAAGTCCAATGGAATTTCTGTTTTACCGTTGTAAGCCACCCAGAGTAGCCCCACAGCAAGATGGGCAGCAAATACATTTAATAAATAAATATATGCAAAAATAAAAAAGAGGGAGGTCCAAAGAAAACTCTGCGCTGCCTCTTCTCAAACGCAAGCAGACAACCCCGGCATTTCTCTTAAAATAGTGTTCCGTTAAAAACTCTTGTGTCAGGCAGCAATACAACAGGTAGAGGTTTCCCACACACAAATGTAACAAGGAAAAGCTTTGCTTTTTGACTTTCAGCTCGTCGGGCAGCCTTTTGAACATGGCATCTTTCTCAGGAAAAGCAACTCACTCGTCCCATACAGAGGCATCTAGGATGGGGTCTAACCCCCCCCCCCAGCCTACCTTTACTAAGGCCTCCACCTGGTGCAACAGGATGGGCTTGTTACAGAATTCGACCAGCGGCTTCGGGATGCTGAGGGTCAGGGGTCGCAGCCGAGTGCCGTAGCCCCCCACCAGGATCAGCGCCTTCATCTTGGCCTGAGCGGAAAGAAGGAAAATTTAGCTTTGCGGGGCCCACTCCTCCCCCACCCCGACCCACTCTCGGCTACACTAAACCTGCCTGCGCGCCTCCCCTTCGCTCCAGCTCTCTCGCCCCGTCCCGTCCAGTCAAGCTCGCCAGCAGCAGGCTTCCAGCGCCCAGGTCCCAGCCGCCGCCTCCCGCCCGAAGAGCAAGTCGCCGAGCAGCCTCCCCGGGTGCCACCTCGCGCCCTCACCCGCGTCTCCCGGTTCAGGCCAACTCAGAGACTCCTCCCCGCTGGCGGGAGCCAGAACGAACATCCACGACATTTCCCCCCTCCGCTTCCCGTTCGAACCCTTTGACCAATCAGTGCGTCCGACGTGGCCGACCGCTCCTACCCTCCAATGGCGGGCGAGAAGAATCGCATTTATCGGCCAATCGCAGAAGAAGCTACCGTGTTGCCGTAGCAATGCAGGCTCGGCTATAAGGAGGCCATTTGAGTCAGATCAAAGAGCCGGAGCCGGCCTGGACACGTTGCTGGTTTCGCTTATAGTAGGGTGCAAGTCCCGCCTTTCGGGACGGATTTCCTGTGCCTCCTTGGAACGGGTGTTGTACGTCATCCGCGGTTCGAAATGCGATGCGAACCTTAGCAACGGGGGCTCCGCCTCCTGAAACCTCTTGGCAGCGAAGGTAAGCCCGGGGTGGGGGGGCGTGCTGGAAGTGGCCTTGAGCTTAGACGTCGGAAGCCCCTTCGCACTCTGTCCTCGCCCGGCTTCAAGCGGGAAGGAGGCGGATGGAAAAGACAGGGTGGCAGAGCCGCGTTTGTAATCGGGCTGCCGGGAGCGGACGAGTTGTAGCGTTCCAAGTTGTGTGTGAAGCAACGGCATTGAGCGGACCCGTGTTCGCTCCCTTTCCTGGACGTTTGCCTTTGATAAGCTGTCCAACACCCCCACCTACCCTATTAATAACACGGAAGGCTGCAAGGTCGGGGAGTGTTGCTATTGTTTAGTTTCCAGGGATAGGTAAATGTCTATGGAGATTCTCAGTCATCCAGGTCATAGTTGTCCCGCAGATGCTTTTTCACGAGGCAGCTGGACTTTCTTGTTTCTCTTTAAAGACGTTTCGCTTCTTATCCAAGAAGCTTCTTCAGCTCTGACTGGGTGGGGAATGGTTTATACTCCTTGCAGACAGCTGGTCATTTGCATTCTTTCAGAGAATGAAAATCTATGTTGAGGCATAGATTTCTAGCTGTCAAGTTTATTTAAATTTTTCATAAGAAGTAGTAGCATCAGATATGTTAGAACAATTAACCAATGGAAAGGCTTGCTTCCAGAAGCTGTGAATGCTCAATCACTGAAATCTTTTAAGAAGAGATTGGACAACCATTTGCCTGAAATGGTATAGATGTCCTGCCTAAGCAGGGGGTTGGACTAGAAGACCTCCAAGATCCCTTCCAACTCTGTTATTCTGTTCTGTTCTATCTGAAATAGCCACTTGGTGCCTTTAAATAGAATTCTCTGGCACAATGTCTTGTATTTTATGAAAGCACCGGAAGGGTGTATAAATAATTTTTTTTGTGGTAAACACTTTGATTAATGGAAAACATATAACGTTTTTATGAAAGTTTTTGCATTTTCAAAAAAACTTCCTCATCCAGTAAGGGTGGAAAATGGAAAAAATCCCTTCAGCATAGAAAGCCTTTATGTAATATACTGAAATAATGATTGTGATTGTTGTATGCCACTTTATTGAAGCTGTTAGTTTGTTCCAGAATGGGGACCATGGCATTGGAGCTAGTCCCCTGCACCATTAAGAACCCAGTAGCATTGCAAGTGGGAGACATGAAGACCGAGATGAGCCGACCTGGTGTTCTGGTGATTGATGTTTCATTCCCACACTCACAGACCACAGACGTAAGTGTGAAAGAAAAGCAGATGTCAAGGATTCACAACAGATAAATTAGAAGTTGTAATTGATTTAAATCTCATAGCTAAGGTTATCTGTGAGCCAGAAAATTCCTGTTCCAAAATTTATATCTCTAATTTACTCAGTTGATTGCTCCAAATCAAAATTGTTTCCCTTTCCTTCTATAAGCGATACAGAACATTTATTTAAAGACTTATTGCTGGAGACATTCTGAAAAACAAAAAGTATTCATGAAAGTTTTTTCTGTATTCTTTTGACCTTATTAAATCTTGCTTGCTATGGATTCAATCAAGTTTTATTTTTATTTCAGTTACAGGCAGTTGCATTCAAAAATTACTATACTGCCTTTTTGACCCTTCGAGTACAGCGACAAAGTTCTGCAGATGATGGGAATGAAAGCCCTTCCAAATGGGTTACTTGTCTACGTAACTTTTGTTTGATGCCTAACCTACATACAGAGGAGGGTTCCCAAAACTACTTTTCTATTTCCAGGCATCAGGTCAGGATTTCAGATTCTACTGGGGAAGTGGGGAATTTCATTTGCTTCAAAGGCATAGCATAGGTCTGGAAGTAGGTAATAAAACAAGAATAGTCTAATAATTAAATGCCCTAACAAGTATCATGATTGGGAATGTGCCAGTTTCCACATGCAGAAAAGAAATAATTCTAATAAATATATTTAGGAAAAGTTTCACATCGTGAGGTGTAGCAATCCCTTATCTCTCTTCTGCATAAGGAAAATAAGGAAACAGGGAGGTTTGGACTTGGGACATTTGACACTCCCAATTTGTCTTCCAAAATCTAATTATTCTAGCCAACAGCTGATCAATTTTATTTTTATTTTACTGCCTGAAGATGTAAAAAGAATGCCCAAATGTCAATATGGGGGAACTTGTTCTTTATTGCCTTCCTTAACTCTCCATTTGTGCATTTTTATTTTCTCCTCAAATATCACCATTTTTACTTCTCAACATTCAGGATTTAAAATTAAGAAAGCTTGTCTGAGAGTATAACATGAGCAGTAGATTGTTTGCATAAAGAAACACTGAGAACTTCTTATTTCCCACCTTTATTGGGAAGGCATTTTCCCCACTATGACAATATCATTGATAAATAAGTTGAATAAGTACAGTGCTGGCATACATTGTTGTCTCCCTCCTTTAAATGTCAAGATGTTTTCTGTTGAATGACTTACTAGGGTGACTTTAACAGTAGCTACATTGTGTTTGCATCATCAGTGATAGTATCTAGCTATCTTCCCTTCTTTTAGCTTGTTTTTCAGTTAGCTTTGGTTTTTCCAAGCATCATGATCTTCTCCAGTGATTTTTCTTTATATATTATATATCATATATCCAAAATATTTAAGCATTAGCTTCCTTATTAATGCTTCAAGTGAACAGTCTAGTTTTATTTAGTCTTACAGCAAAATTATACACTCTATATATAGTCCACAGGTTTTTTTAACAGTTTTTTCCAGTATTACAATGTAAAAGCATTGAATTTTTTTCTTCATTCAGCCTTTCTGGTGGTCCAGTTCTTACAATCACAAGTAGAACAGTTATGGCCTTGACAGTGTATTTATTCTCAGTGTGATGTCTCTGCACTTTAATATTTTGTCTCAGTCTCTGATAATCTCCTTTCAAGTAGGAGAAACATTTTTACTTCATACCTATAGCTGCTTTTTCTTCTTGTTTCTGTGCTTATGGCAGAATATGATTTCAGTTTCTGTGGGATGTGAGTCAAGCTTATTGAGTTTTCTTATTGCCTAAAATGAATGAGGAGGGCATTCTGGAACACAGCCAACGTTCACTCCTGTGCAGATAAGGTGCTGGAGGGTGGTGATGGGGAATGGGGTAGGTAGGATGTTCCATGGTGGCTATAGGCAGTGGCTGAGGAAAGAGAAGTCAATGGGAAGATGGGGAGTGGGCCAGTGGGGTATGCCGTGCTGGCTGCTGCTAAGGAGACAGTGGGACCTGGTTAACCCCACTACTGGTTTAGGGCTTTTTTTCCCCTTCCAAACTGTAGCTGGTATAGAATGGTATAGCACAAGTTCCTGAATGTGATGATTTGTTCCTGGATCTAAGCAAAATGTTATTTTATTTAGATCCAAGTAAAATGTAGCAATGTTCCCCAATCTAGTAATTCCACAATAATAATATGTAGTAATACTGTAATTTAATTTCATTATCCAGTTTCTGTTAATTATGTAGGTATGGTATATATGCTTCAGTAATACTTTGTCTTCATTTTTTTTCCTAGATGCTTTGTGATGTGGATCAGGTGGCTGCCATGCGTTTCATCCTGCGCCAGCCTTCTCCAGTATGGTTGCATTTTGCAATTGAGGAGCTGCAACTTTTTTCTTTGTGCCAGAAGGTACATATTCAAAATTTTGTCAAAATATGATTCTTTCTTTAGCAGTTGTTCCAATCCTCCAAGGATCTTGGCAGTGGCTTGCAAATATATTTAAAAGGTGGAAAACTAAATATACTGCAGTATGCTATCTCAGGGGTCTTCAAACTTGGTCCTTTTATGACTGGTGAACTTCAACTCCCAGAATTCCTCTGCCAGCATGTGAAGACCCCTGGTCTAGCTGGCTGAGGATACTCATAGTCCTGATTCACAACCTCTGGAGAGGTACCTATTCCCAACCATCCTTATTCAGATGGTCCTTGCTCAGTCTGTCCTTTGCCTGACCCTTTCCCGCTGCTGCAATTGCATTGCCTTTGATGGGTGGAAGAGCAGCTTACTCTCCTGAAAACTCTCTCTAATCTCTCCACTCTGCAGTGAGGAAGAGGGTCAAGCAGAGACTGACTGCAGGAATTGCTAACTTTTTTCTCCCTCCCCCAGTAGATTGGATCACAAGGAATTTCAAGGAAGTACTGTAAGCTGTTTGCGTAGCATTTGCATTTCCCAGCCCTAGGTTGCTGGTGTAATTGCATTGCTTTCAGTGTGTAGAAAAGCAAATATACTTTCTTCCAATCCCTTTCTCTGTCTGCTCTGCAAGGGGGAGGGGCCCCACACACCAGGCAAAGGACAACGCATAGTGATCACGCAGACAAGTTATTTTTTCAGCACCATTGTAACTTTAAATGGTCGCTGAATACAGGAGTACTTGTATTAAAGTGAATTTGTTTGCTTGTTTGTTAGCTAGTTACTTGCTTGTGTCATTTTGCACTATGATGTATTCCTTCTACCAGAAGTTGAACTTTGATTCAAGGGAGTTTTACCTTTATCCACATATCTCTGACATCCATGGAGCTAGTATGGTATTCTTTATCTGCCAGATTCACAGTACGCTAATTATAACATTATTTATAATTAGTAATATTTAGGAAAGTAACTGGATGTATTACTTAGTGTGCACAAGACCTAGTATTAATTTCAACATATGAACTAGGTGGAAATCTAAAACTGACCGTAGAGGTTTTTTCAGATAAGGAAAAATGGTATTTTATAGCTCTTGCTTTTATCTGTAAAGTAATAATGTACTTGGAAATAATTGAAATAAATACTTTTAAAGGTAAATCTTCCTAATCACTGGGAAAGTGAATGGTGAAGATGGAATGTGTATGTTGCCTGATTTTGTTGTATGTTTCTCTGGGACTGCCTTCTTCTCCTTACAGAATCCTCAGAAAGGCTTTCCAGCTTGGCTTTCTCATCCTTCTCCTCAAGAGCAGCCAACAAGCTTACATGATGTAAGTATTATTACTGAGATGTTGCTCAGTAAAGATACACAAGTTTAGTCTGGCTGCAGATTGTTAACAACTCCTAGAGAGAAGAGACCTTCAGACAGAGCTGATCTTGCAAGAGCAAAAGCAGCATAGAACTGCATATTTGAATATAGTTATTCTTTGATTTCAGGGACTTCCTGATGCCAACAGAGTGTCTTCCGAACTGCAGCAAATGTGGGTTTTAACTGAGATGCTCCAAGCCAGCCAACCAGTAGCACGGATTGGGCGTTTTGATGTTAGTTTCTCTGTTCTTCTGCTTCTTGTCTTAGAAATGTTCTTATTACTGAAAAAATAGCCAGAACCTCTAAGCACTGCAAATGGGTAAAATACCTCCCTTTCTCTGTTCATAGGCTCCTTTTAAGAAGTTTACCCACAGATCCTCCATGATAAAATCCTTGTATCAAAATTCCTATAAAACTAGTACTGGCTAAAATACACAGACTGATGATCATCCTGATTGGGGGTGGGGTGGGAGGTTACACAGCTAATATGCAATTTCTATTTATATTACATATCCTTTTAAGGAACATAGACTGGTTTAGCATTGTTTTTTCAGATTAATTTGACACAGATTAATGCAAGAGATAATAACTGGTCAAAGTTCATCATCTTTTAGGTTATTGATTTGAATTGGTGTAATCTTTGTGCCTGTGGCCCTTCCAGTGTTAGGTGCAATTTTTAACAATTCTGCTCATGAAGCATGTTTGTTGGGGCTGATGAGACCAGTTAAGCACTGCTTGAGTCCAAGTTCAGCTTTCTTCCCCCAGGCTACATTGTCTTATAGGGAGAGGGTAGGAAGAAGAGAGAATTAGATTATGGGAGAAAAAAATAAGCATTCTTCAGTGTGCTCAACTTGTTGAATTGTTTCTTATGTATATTTCAGATAGAGGACTCCTATGACCTTAATCTGCTTTCTTATACTTGAATGGTCCCAAAAGAAGAAGAAGCAAGGCTTTCAAGCAGGGCTGCATCCTTGCATTGTAGCCTAGCCTGAGCAGGAAGAAGGAAGATTAAGACTTGATTGCTTCCATGTTCCCGTCTCATGTTCCAATAACTATCCACTTAGATTCTGTGGTAATCTGGTTTTCAAGCCTATATTTTGCACTGAACCCTGGAAAGTTAGATTACCTAAACTGAAACTGCCCAATTAGGCTTGTTTCTCTCCTGATCTGCTTTTCCAAGCCTTGCTGCATGATATAAGGTTTTTTTTTTTCAGGCAAAATGAAATATATTCAAGAATCTGGTACTGGGAGCATGGAGGAAAGGAATCCTTCATTTTTATAAATAGTGATTTGAGATATTGTAAGAAGGACTCCGGATATAGGTGTCTAAGATTGAAAAAGGGCAATTCTAAAAAATGCGAGATACAGAGATCAATGTTGCTGTCTACCTCACTTATAATTACAGAGCACAGGTCTTTTAATATGTGTGTAGACTTCAAAAAGAAAATGTTGCATCATGCTAAAACCATGACATTAGTATTCTTGGAGGGATGGAGGTTGTAGAAAGCTAAGTTTTATCATACATTTTCTATCCCAATATGCTATTATTACGTTTTCTCATAGGTCCAATGAGTGTTGAGCTTGGTTAAATGAAAGGGAAAGTTTGGTTCATTTTGTCTCATGTCAAAAATCTTTAGATAGATTGTATCTGCAAAGCTCAGTTGAAAAATGCCTTTTGGAGATTGGTTTGACAATTACCAAGAGGGATATTTGAGCATCTTCATTCAAGCCACTGAATGACTTACCTATTTACTGGAATAGCATCGTATGATTTCCACAGAAAAGGAAACAATCCTTCTTACAGTATGGACATAATTTGTAGTTATCAGAAGGATCAAACTGTAGAACAGGGGTCTTCAGACTTGGCCCTTTTATGACTTGTGGACTTCAACTCCACGCTGGCTGAGGAATTCTAGGAGTCAAAGTCCACAAGTCATAAAAGGGCCAAGTTGGAAGACCCCTGCTGTAGAACAACATAAATTTCTGCAGTGGGATGTATGTGATTTTTTTTTTAAAAAAAGCTATTGCATTTTTGGAGTGTCTTTACAGCTGTTTTCTGTATATTATGCACCTTGTATTATTTATGTATGTTATTATTTATAGTTAATTATTTATGTTAATTATTTATATTTTAAAAGGATTGTAATAGACTTCTAATGCACTCTATATATTTAAGGGATCACAAATAAATGAAAAGCTATGTACTATATAATGACACACTGTAAACACATGGGAAATACTTTTGATCCTAAAGACTGCAGGTAAATTTTTGTTCCTGATACATATGGAATACATGCCTTAATTTCTTTTCTTTGCTTTTGAGTATAGTTTCTGGGGCAAAAAAGGGGAGCTTTGAGGCTGATTCTTTCCAGCCATCTGGCGGAGATGGCTCAGTTGCTAATGCCAATATTAGTAAGAAACCTGGCTTCGGTCTACCAAGGTTTGCTTTGTTTCCTGCTTTTGGGGCCATATATTTACCTTCTGCTTATTGGCAGAAAGAGGAATAAGCTGTTCCGAGAGTAGAAATGGAAGGAAACACTGTTGCCATATTTTTATCTGAACAGTTTTTCCAAATACATAAGAGATGAAAAAGGAAGTAGCAAAGAATGAGATGAAGTCTCAAATTATCTGCCCAATCTGCCCAATAAAAAAAAAGTAATAACAGATCTTTTGCCTACTGTACTCTTTAATTTACTTCTGAGTAATTTCATTTTTTCCCCAACTGCATTTATTTTGTCTTACTGAAATATATGATTCTGAAATAATGCTTTTGCTTCTCTTTTCTTTTAAACATTATCACAGCAACAGAATAATTATTGAAGCAACAACTAGTAAATAATCAGAGACCTGTAATCCCAATACTGTGGGCAGACTGATCTCCAGGGAGAATGTTCACTTTGCTAATCGTTGGTCTTTAAGGTGTCATTAGTAAGTCTATATTGCGTTCATTAATTTCACTGTATAAAATTCTTAAACATCAAATGCTGAAAATCTAGCCTATCTAACTTTTCAAGAAGATGCCAGTACTAAACATGACAGCAAATCCATGCTTTTGTTCACCTCTATTTTAATGGATAATATCTGTTGTCATTTTTTATTATCTTAGATGTGTGCAGTTCTCGATTACGCTCCTGAGCTTAGTGGAGGTCTATTCTTCAGCATTTATTTTTATACGGGAGCCTTGCATCCTGTCGATGTTAATGGGTTCTATCTTCCATGGCTGAGCTAATGATTGGGGACAATGGAAGTTTAAAGTCCAACTCAGTAGGTGTAGAAATTTCTCCCTCTTTGACTTATGTCTTGATTTCTCAGAGATTTTGAATGCTGAATCTCTATCGACATACTTTAAATTGTTTCTCGAGTCCTTCAGCCAATATTCATGGATTAGTCTGATGAGTATGCATGGGTTCAGTCAAGGGCTAATGTGGTTGGTTTGGTTTTGTATTTTCATTTCTGGTTAGCATGTTGTGTGAATCCAGATATGTTGATTTGTACACTAATTAATGGTTAGGATATACAAGAATAAACCTATGGTTTTCTCTGAGTCTCTGGTTAGACTCATACAACATACTGTCATAAATCTCAGTTTACAAATCACAAATGCTAGATAGACACAAAACCAACACCAAAAAAAGCCTATATCATGGCAATGTTTGACTAACCTAAGTGGTATGTGAATCCAGATAATTCTGGATTATTTAAGAAACCATGAGCTATGTGAACCAGTTATATAAACAAAGATGAATGCCTTGCAGCCAAACATCTTGAAAGGAGCTTTGCCACTCTGAGGTTCTTCTCTGGAATAAGATTTAGGATTCTGGGCATCTATCTTACCATTTTCATTACTGTATGAAGCAGGCAGAAGAGCACAGTTACCAAGAATCTTTCCAAATGGAATGAATGGATACTCAGAATGATAAATGCAGTGTGGTGTATATATGACAACCATCCATTAGGTAGTTTTAAAGAGTGATTGAGAAAGGCAGCTTTCATAGGTGTTTGTGGCAGGTGTCAAAATCTGAAAGATAGAAGATGCAGCCCTGCAATTAACACTGTTGCAAATAAAAGTGGGGCAGAAGTTCAGTCACAGCCCCACACCCTGCAACTTGCAGATTCTGACACCTGTAGAAACTTGACTATATCTCTCTTCTCATCCTTATGGTGGTTCAGCTTATCACCAGTCTATGAGCAAGATAAGCTTACTTTCCAAAAGCATAGAGGGGTCCTGGAAAACGTGCCTGTTTGGAGGTGGGGGGGGAAAGAGATTTTAAAAGGCCTTAATTTATTTTCTTTATGAATTGGCTTTTGTTCCTTTTTGCCTGTTAACTAGTGATATAACTAGTGTTTGCCACAGACATAATCAATTGGTGCAGCACCCTTGCGATCATGACAAATTTACTGTTAACCATCAGTCGATAACCCTAACCCATTTAGTGGGGAAAAATATGAGACAGCTGAAATAAGTAGAGTAATCAAAGGAAATGATGCAGTTCATGCAAATGGAAGAGGGAAAGAAATTGTCTGGTGTTGTCCTTACTGGAACATAAGATGCTGAATTAGGCCGAAGGTCCAGCTAATCCAGCATTGTGTCACCCTGTGGCCAACCAGATGCATACAGGAAACTTGGGTCAGGTGTTACTGCCTGACAGTTAGTGATAACCTAAGATAGTAAACTAAAAGGGCATCAAGACTAGTAGCACCAATAGCCTGATTTAAAGAATTATCTGTCCATCCCTGAATCTCCTGAAAATTATAGCAGCATGAAATGTACTGTCTCCATTGCAGATAACTGGAAATGAACTCTTAGTCTATGATGGAAAAAAAATCTGCTAATGCCTTTTCCAAGTAACACTTTTTATTAAAAGATATAAGCTTTCAGGATGCCTTTTAAATAAAGTTTGTTAGTGGGAAAAGGTGCTTCCAGACTCCTGTGGTTTTTTTTTTTTTTTTTGGTTTTTTTTTTGCAATCACTGATAATCTGTTTCAATTCACTGCCTCTCAGCTATCTTTCCTAGTCTAAGGTGACTGTGTCAAAGAGAACAGATTTTACATACTTTGAGGATGTCCCTGGGCGGTGTCAAGAGAACAAGATCTGAAACTGACTGAAAAACATCATTTTAAAGAAGCAAAATAAGATTATGAAAGGCCAGATGTTGTGACCACAAGATCGTCAGACAGTGCGGGCTCTCTCGCTCTGCTTTATTACACCACGCCTTCTAAACAGAGAGGAGAAATGCTGAACAAACTGAGCTGTGTACAGCAGCTGTGTACAGCAGCAACTTCTCCTTTTCACAGCTGGCCTGGTCGATCGGCTTTGGGTGGGGCGGGCCATTCCTAGGAGCATTCGCTAGGAATGCGATCGACTACATTTCCCAGGCTCCTTCCGGGCTTCCAGAGGTGGGAGGGTCCGTAAATAAGATTGAGAGCAGCCGAGGGGTGGGGGGATGTTCGCTGGCAGGGAGAAATGCTGCGAGCTGGGGCTGCTGGAAGACTTTCGCTCCGGCGCTTGGGCTCCTTCGGGGTCATTGCAAGCGGGAAGCGGAGCTATTCTTCTGGGCAGGTGAGCTGGTGGGCGGCAGCTGTGCGCGTTTAGAAGCAAGTTGGGCTGCCTGTTTGTGAGCGAGCAGGCAAAGACTTAGAACTGCCCGTGCGAAACGGAACTTCATCCCACACCTCCAGAAGGCTGCGGGGCACTTGTGCTTTCAAAGGGAGAGAGGGAGGGGGGACAAAGGCAGGCGAGGGAAAAGTAGCGGACGTCCGTATGCGTTCATACGGACAACTGAGTTTAGCGAGGGTTCAGGCCTCCAATCTCACTTCAACAGGTCGGCTCAAGCAAAACGTTTGAATTAACGCAGTGCAAGAGAGCGCGCCAGCGCACTTGCAGAATTTATTTCAGGCTGATGAATTGTACCCTGCCAGACGGTTTTGATGAGAGAGAAATGGATACTGTACCTCTTTTCCAGCTTCTTAGTGAGAAGTGAATTTGTGGGAGTCTCTTGAGAGATTCCTCGAATACACTGAGTTCCCTGGAGACAATTAATTCAAAGAGTTGTGCTTTTTTCTCAATAAGGAAAGTAGCAAAAAAAACCGAAACTCCTCATCCACCTACTCTCCATTTTTGCATGCATCAAGAGACACGCTGTAGGTGTCTGACTGTGAGATGCCACCATTGAAGTGTTGATTGTTCTAATTAGCCTATGGCAGATCACTTTCTAAACACAGGTATGGAGGTTGGGGGTCAAAAAGCAGCACTATCAACAGACAATACCTTCCATAAATTGAGACATGAAGCTTGAATTTGCTGGCATCTGGCAGTAGTAGTTCCATAAATCAAAACAAAGCAGGAGACAGGCTGCCTCCCGAACAACTGCAGTTGGGAAGAGGTGGCTTTAGCTTCTGACAGTGAAAATCAACCCACTTAAAATATTTGCTCCTGCCACTACTCTCTGTTGCCAGCCACAATTAGTTTGCCTTCTGGTCTTCTGTAGTGCAGTGGGGAGAATTGAATCTCTATGAAAGGGATGCTCAGAAGGAAGGAGACCCCCCCCTCCACCTTCAACCTATTTAAAGAAATTTGCACCAATTTGAATTTCCCCTCTTTCTACCTCTGAGCAATTTTACCCCAGTGATTCCTTTTTCATAAATAATACCAGGCAAACATCTGTCCTAAATCTGTGTGTATTCTAGAATATTAATATGCAGGGTTTTTGGATGTGTGCTTTATCTCTTGCACTTTTACTGTTTCTGTACACACACTCTCTACAGACAGGACTTCAGTAAGTGGGAAAGAGGAAAGGAGGCCAGTGGGTACAAAGGGCAAGAAGGACTGCAGTTCTCTTGACAATGGACTTGAGATAACACGTTGAGTAAACAAGGCTAATTACAAAGGTCGAAGGTAGCTTAGACAGACTATCCCCTCTGTCCTATTCCCACATCAGGAAATTGAACCACGGGCTGGCCTTAAGCTAAGGCTGAAACAGTAGCAGATGTTTGGTTTTTCATGGATAGCGAAGGGAATACCAAGATGTAATAATGCCTGGATTTCTGGGAAACTCAGAGCTCCAAAAAAGGGTTTGTTGTTTTTGAGGTGAAGTAGCTGGGGCAAAGGGGTGTTCTTGCTTCTAATTGGGCTGTGGTCAGGAATAGCTATGGTAGGACTAATAATGGGTTTCTTGGCCTGTTTCAATCTGACTTTGTTCTGAATGATCACTTGGGAGTTTCTGGCAATCATCTACTGCAGTGATGGTGAACCTTTTAGAGACCGAATGCCCAAAAACCGCCCCAACCCGTCCCTGCTCCAACCTGCCCACTGGGCCACCCACCACCTCCACGGCCTGCCACAGATCACCCAGGAAGCCCAGCAGCGCCATGGTGGCCATGCCCTCTGCCCATGCCCCGCAGCATCATCTGCGCGCGATGGGGCGCAAGGGCAGAGTCTTGTCCCCGCTGCCTGGCTACCATATCCTTGGCTGCGCTGCTTCGCGTGGGCTGTGACTGCTGGGGAGGAGGGGGCTGTGGGAGGAGGCGGGGCTGGGGAGACGGTGCATGTGTCCACAGAGAGGGCTCCGAGTGCTGCCTCTGTCACCTGTGCCATAGGTTCACCACTGATCTACTGCCTTCATCTACAGGAGAACCTGAAACAGACCCCTCTCTATGACTTCCACCGACATCATGGTGGGAAGATGGTGGCCTTTGCAGGCTGGAGCCTTCCTGTGCAATACACACAGAGCCACTTGGACTCCCATCTCCACACACGTCAACACTG